AACGCAAACAAGATTATATGTTGGGAATACAAGTCGATGATATGTGTATATTTCACTACATGGAATGATGTCCAATGGAACTGCAATTGCTGTGAAGCAATTATCAGAAAAATCAAAGCCATGGATGAAAGAGTTCTTGAACGAGATTGGCGTGACAACGGCTCTGCGACATCCATCTCTAATCGAACTCCATGGTTATTGCGTTGAAGGGAGTCAACTATTGCTTGTGAAAAACAACAGCCTCTACCGAGCACTGTTTGGTAAGTAATTTATCTTTCAATATTAAATACATGTTTCTATAATACAATATGTTCATAACTAATGAGATTTTTTTCAATATAGCTCCCCTACAAACTCAAACCAGTTTGGATTGGTCTACAAGACATAAGATATCCGTTGGGGTAGAAAAGGGGCTGACATATCTTCATGAAGAATCAAGGCTTAACATTCTCCACAGAGACATCAATGCAGCATATATCTTGCTGGACCAAGATTTAAATCCGAAGATTTCAGATGTCAGTGTAGCTAAGCTCGATCCTGAAGATCAATTACACATCTCCACTAATGCAACTGGAACCTAGTAAGTCAAATCAATGAGAGTATTGATCTCCCTGAGAATTTTCTGTAACTCTTTGCTTACATTGCATGCAGCGGATACAGAGCATTAGAATATGCATACAAATGTCATATCTCTGATAAAGATGATGTTTAGAGCTTTGTTGTAGTTGTTATGGAACCTGTTCATGGAAAGATCAATACAACTCTCCGTCCTGACAGTTAGGAGATATATTTTGTTGATTGGGTAATAATACTTTATATTTTATAATTTCATTATTTTGCATAGAATCTCTAAACTAATCTGAGTTTTTTTTTTTGATCAAAACTTATTTATGTTATTCATTTGCGTCATCTATGGAAACCGAACGAGTTGGCGTAATTTGTAGATCCGGGCTATAAATCTATAACAACGATGAAGTATTAAGGACAATCCAAGTTGTGATCATATGTACGAGCTGTGTAGTTGCTGATAAACCACCAATGTCATCAATAGTTAGCATGTTAGAGGATCATCCAACTGTAGAAGTAGAGACACAGTCGTAGATGACGGTGGTTAGTGATTGATGAGCAAACTCCGGATCTGTTGAAGATAATTGCCGAGATTGACGCGGAATTCAAGTCACAAGAGATTACAAAAACTTTGAAAACTCAAGAAAATGTAGCCTAAATTTTTTGAGGTTTAAAGCATTTTAAAAAATGTGGTCTTAATCTGTGATATATATTTATATTCAACTACTATTAATATTAGTTACAATGGATACAAAACTACGAAAATAAATTTTTAAGAAAAAAGAAAAGCAACAGTTTGATCTAAATTTATTATCCAAAAAAAAAAGAGTATGTTCAACCTATATATTAACACATAATCAACGTTATTTTATAGCTCATATGTTCATATTATGTAATTATGTTGATTCTAATCTATAAATAATTTTTCTAGCAATTACAAAAGTCGGATATATATGTTAACATTTTACAAATTATTCCTATGAAATGCATCGGATACTTAAAAGTTCAAAATTCTTCTAAGTTTTTGTAAGAAAATAATTAAAAGTGTAAATAATTATTAGAAAAAATAAAATAAAAAAGCCAAGGTAGAAGAAAAAATAAGGAAAATTTGCAGCCACTTTGTCCCATGAGATTCAAGCAATTTTGTGTTCGTCTTTTATCATGAGGACCACCAGAACTTTCTTATGGCTTCATTGACTCTGTTGAGAAGATTCTTAGGGAGTTAAAAGCAGGACATACAGTGATACAGTAGGTTGGTAATGATGATGTCCTTCTTTGTACCAGCTGGAGAAATTAAATAAGCTTAGAATACCAACTCTTAAGTTTTAGTTACATAAGTTATAACAATATTTGTTTCTCGTGTCTTATACATATGGCCTTCATGAGGTTTATAGTGGATAATATTCCATACAAAGCTATTTGTTGATCATAACACTCACTTCTGAAGGAAAAACTCCATTATATAACAACATCAACTCACAGAATCCATCTTCTGCATCAGATACATGTATCACAGATCAAGTCTTGCAGAGTTTTATCCTATAAGCTTATGTTTCTTTCTTGATATTCAACAACATAGCTCCATATGGTAAGATTGATTACTCCAAAATGTGACTTAGACAAATGTGACCTGTTAAGCCTTTCATATATTACTACTGTTCTGCCCTGAGAAAATGGATTTAGGAATATAATCTATACTAAATGTGGTCGAAGAGTGAACGTCCAAGTTAAGCAAACACTTACAACACCAGATCATTTTATAGATGAACTTCCAAGAATATGCAGTAATCTCAGGACAAACAATCAACTTCACAAACTTTTTATTTCGAACAAAACTGAAACAGTCAAATCAAATGTTCTGGTGGAACTCAAATTAACTTGATTATAAAGAAGATTAGATGGGTATTATAGAGAAAAATGTCAAAAGAAAGACGAGAAGGCAGGCTTTGATTTCAAGATATAGAATGCTTCAATGATGCTTTGTTATTAGCTAAACAGAGAATCATACTAACATTGTTTCATCAAAAGTAGTTTCGAGACACTACTACTTTGGAAGAAGTAACAAGTAACAAACCCTCTTTTTGAATGACCTCACACCAAAAATGGTCATTACTAAGCTAAATCAGATAATTGGATTGAGAGCTCAGACCTAACTTGGAGAACACACTAATTCCTCATAATCCAATGATGTAAGATTCTTCCACTGTCCCTTTGCAGAAACACACAGGGGTTGGACTACATGATACAACATCCCAAAATCATGAAAGTCATTGTTAAAATTCATCTTACATAATTATTAATATTAACCATCTCTGATTTTCAATCATATATTGTGGTTACAAAGACAAAATGTTAATTCTTACATAACTATTAACTAGATCATCACCCGTACTATAGTACGGGTTGAATTTCATTTATTACAAATTTTATAAATTTTATGTTTTAGAATAAAGTTGTGATATATTATAATAGTAAGTGAAAAAATAATATTTTTTTTGTCATTCTCTATATATAATAATAAATTACCATATTTTCCTTTTTCTATAGTATTCAATTATGGATATTTTTTTTTAAGATATGAAAACAGAAAATAAGATTATTTTAAAAAAAATTTAATATTGTTTGAACAATGAGTTAATTTATGTTAACAACCACAAAATGAGAGTGCATATAATTTAGTTAGATCAAAAATCAAAATATCATAAATGAATCGCATCTAAAACGTAGATTATTTTGAATTACTTAGAAAATTAGCTATTATTTTAAATTAATTTAGGAAATTATTTTTTCAAATTCTGATTCATTGGTTGTTGAAATAGAGATTTGTTTGAGCTAATTACGGAATTTACCAATTATTCACATAATCAAATATGTTATGAACATATATTTGGTATATAATAATACCAAATTCAATATGTGTGTGGAGTCTATATTTTCATTTTACAATCCGTATAAAAATATTGCGGCCCAATCTATTATTTATTATTTTAAAAATTGTTTGAAGAATCAAATTTTCAAATATTTAGAAGTGTCAAACCTTATTTAACTCATCTCATCATAAAATCTTAAAATACCGTCTGTTATAAGGATCATAACTTTCTACCATATAATACATTACATTTAACCCGCCGCCTACTATAAATATTTTAAACATATCTTTTTAGAAAATCAAATTAATGTATTTATAATTTTTTTTATCTTTTTAATCTATTAAATATTTATGATATTCTTTAATATATTAAATTAAACTATTTTAAAATGTTCCAAATTAAAATCTTTAAATTTTTTTATTGTATTATGTAAAATTATGATTTTTTAAAAAAATGATATGAAATTAAATATAAATATTCAAATAGTTATAAGGATCATAACTCATTTCATCATATAATATGTTATATTCAACCCGCTGCCTAGTATAAATATTTGTTTCAAAAAAATCAAATTAGAGTATTTATAATTCATAAATTTTTGATCTATTAAGTATTGATGATATTAAAAAAAAAGGAATATATTACTCAAATATTTATTTTTGATCCGTTAAATTTGTTCTTTCATACATTGAATAATTTATATTCGTTTTAAAAAATTCAAATCTTGGTATATGCGGAAAAAAATTTACTTTTTTTTTTATTATATAGATGATATAATGATTTATTTATTTATAGAAATAGAATCATATAAAGATGAGAGGTGAAGTATAATGATTAATAACAAATTAATATGGTAAGTTAGATATCAAATTTTATATGTTCATTTTGATTGGTCATTCTTTTTAAAGAAATTAATAATAGATTTTCGTTTTTATAATTAAATTAAATTAATTAAATTGCATAAAATAGTATTTGACTTGTTTATCCTTAATGAGTTGAATTAATTTACTCTATAAAATTTTATTTCTAATGGCATTCTTAAGTAAATTCTTACAAAGGGAAAGGTTAATTAAGGGTAATCCATAAATTGTACTCCCCAAATAATAGTATAGGATACTAACCACAGGTTTATGAGCTTCCATCTATTTTGAGCAAATCATCAGGATTTACATTTAATAGCGCGACATTTTCTTTCGATATTTGTGAGCTTCCATGTTTGGATTGAATTTAAATTGTCTGCAAAACCATAGACGCAAACATAAAATCTAGTGAGTTTTACAATAAAAAAAATTTCAAAGTATTCGAATGCGAAAATATCCAATGACCGGTATAGAGCGATTTGAATTGATCAAAAAGAAATAAATTAGAGGGTCACTAAAAGTTACTTAAAAATATTGAGGCCTTCTATGTTCGCAGATTTTGAAGTTATTTTAGGTTTTAGTTTTCCAAAAATCTATTTTATAATATATTACTAATTGATAAGTAAGTTGGGATCAGATTAAAAGTTGGGGAAACAGTACTTTCTAGTTAAACAGAAATTGCAATCTCTTTAGATCTAACCCTAGAATCTATGTCTGATCCGCGGTCCTCCGACGAAGAAATGTTTTATCCGGAGGCACTTACGTGTGATCCACGGTTACCTGACGCTAGTATATATGGACCGAACTTCGATTCATACATGGGTACGTAAGACCTCTCTAAATATCTCTTGCTCGAAATTGTTTGTCTAATAATCTGGATTAGCTTTCATCTGATCGATCTGTCATGGTAAACTAGCCTATATAATCGTCCATATGTCATAGTATTATTACGGTGGATCTAATTTATGATATGTCTCGTAATTGTGTATTCGTTCTCTCCTTTGGCAGATGCTAAAACATGTGTCTTTTGGGACGTCGAGGATTACCCAATCCCTCATGGTTCCGATCCTGTTTCGCTGGGGCAGAAAATCAAATCAGTTCTCTTGGCTGCGAATTATCGTGGGGAAGTCTCAATCAACGCTTACGTTGATACGTTGTCGGATGAATTGCGAAGTCAATACTTGGACGCCGGAATCACAGTCGATCTCATGCCCCAAGGTGAATATATAATAGTTCCCTTCAGTTTTTTTCACGTTTATATATTTTTACTTACACTAGTTACTTTGCAGGGGATGAATACGCTAGGAGTTCTTCCCTGTTTGTGGACGCTTACCTGTGGGCACTGGATAATCCTGCACCAGCAAATATGATTGTACTCTCCAAAAAGGTGTTCGAAACGGTAGAAAGGAGAAATGCTCTGAGTATATTTCAAAGTTTTTACAGGGTAGGTTTTGCTGTTGTTTTATCCGATACTGACTTGAGCTGGCTACCTCCTGACACGGATTGGCTACCTCCTCTAGCAAGGTCAACCTTGTTTTTGACGGGCCTTTTTGATAAGAAGCGGAAGAGAGAGGGAACTCCTACCATGACTTCTTCTGAAACAAAAAATGAACAAAGTGAGAGAGAATGAAGAGTCTTACCATGACTTCTTCTGATTCTGAGGACTAACTTTTTCTAGGGTAAACATGGTTCTATTATGCATATGAAGGGTCTAGGGCGTTTGTATTTGATGGTTTGGAACGTGTTTATGTCTAAACGTTGCTTACTCTTTTTTTGCATTTATCATAAGCCTCTTTCTTCCAACATAAGCTAAAACCACCAAAGACTTCACCGGGTAGCATTTTCCCAATCACTTCGTGTTTTGACCATCCGGTAAGCCTTTCCATGGCTGCATTCTACTCTGAACAACAAGCAAGCGAATATCGGTGGACTCAATGGATTTAAGCTTTGAACAATTGTCTTGTAGTCTCCTTGCAAACTGATGACTCTACCTGTTATTGATTTCTCACTAGTACTTGACCAACGAAGCAGACTCGTGCACGAGTTAACCAAGAACACACACATCAGAAGAAGAATCCGAATGATTATTTTAACCAAACTTTCTAAGTTTTAGCATATGATGGTTTTCTCCTCCTCACCTGTATGACACAAGAAATCAATTTTTTTGTTAGTCGATAAAACTCATTCAAAGAGCATGAAACTTGGATCAAGAAAATCTTTTTTTGCACAAGAGACTTTCAAGAGCTGCACGTGATTCCTCTTCGGCAAGTGACTTCCCCATGGCTTCACTAGCTAGCTAGCAATCCCGTCATTTCAGCAGTTTTATTGTTCCAACCATTTATGCATACAGAGGAATCAACCCTAAAAATAGGTGCAGTTGTGGTTTCAATCACCCTAACTATTTCACACACAAAAGAAGTAAGCTCATTGGCTGCATCATATTACATATATATAATCTCGTTTACGTGTACTCAAATCTATGGATGATCGATCCAGTTTTCCAATGGATAGTTTCTATCTTATATACTCACAATATTGAAAATTACTCGACGGTCATACCAAGCACAACTCAAAAGAAAAGAAATGTTTACTAGCAATGACATCAAAATAACGTATTGAAGAAACATGTATCAGCAAACCAGAAACCTCCATATAGTTCTTAATATATATGTTAAACTTATAGCCTATTTAAAATTGATGTCATAAGAGAAAATAGTATTTACATATTTATATTTGCAAGTATAAATATGAGAAACTTGGACCGAGAACAAGTTCTTTGCGTTGTAGAAACGTCCCCCATTTCCAGGCACTAATTTCATCTTGAATAGTTTTTTACTTTATATTTTATTAAAGATTGCATTTCTTCACAATACCTTGGACAAAAAAAAACTGGGGTTTCTACATAATTTACTTAGAAATCTAAAAGATGCATAAAGCTTAGCCAAAACTCACATATGCGTTTTTTTTTTTTTTGCCAGGTTCTTTCAATATGATATGTAAGAATAGAGTTAAGACACCGACCAAAATATAGTGATGAATATAAGACATACGATTAGTTTGAAAAATAGTCTTTGTACACACTGTAAGATGAGGCATATACGCATTGCAAAAGCAAAAGATTGTTTAAAATTACACTCGTTCAAGCAAAAGACTGTTTGATCATAAAAGCATTCATCGATGTAGAACAGCTACAAATGCTTCAATCTATTTTGGGCAAAGTATCAGGATTTACCACCACAACATTGTAACCTTTCTTCAACAAACAGTCACGAACATGAGAGAACTTGGTGCCTTGTCCAAAGTTTTTGTTACCCGAGAGTAGCACAACATTTCCTGTCCTGCTATCGAAACCGCTCAGTACAAACGACCAACGAAGAATGTCTTGTAACATACGGTTAAATATTGCATCTTTATCCCCTGTAAATAGTATACCAAACGGACATGTAGATTATATATTTAATCATGTGTGTAAAGAAAAGAGGGTTTTAAGTAAAAGAAATTTACCTTTGCAGCTTTCAGTAGAGAGATGGATAGAGTGATGAAAATAATATGCGTGCAAAGATTCGAAAGATTTGAGGAAATCCGTGGAATCCGTTCTCGGGTCAATAATGAGATAACGGTGTTGGATGGAATCGTCAAATCCATCTTTATAAAGAGCTTTCTCGAGTTTCGTATGAACCTCATAAAAATAGGAAATTTCTGGGATGTTGAAGCAATCCTCAAGGACCCATATGATAAGTGCCGGGTTATCTGCGAGGTTTGATAAAACGTAAAGCAAATAAACAATAGAAGAAAAAAAATCAGAGAATCATAGTTCCTTAAATTATTACATCCATTTAACTATGACAGATTGATCAGATGAAGAAGTTAATCAAATCCAGAATTCCAGATCATAGACAAGAAGCAATTTCCAGAAAGAGATACAACATCTTACCCATGTTTGCACTCTTGCGCTCGGGGAAAATAATACCGGACATGCTTTCAACGGAGTTACCGAGAGAGAGAGAGAGAGAGACTTTTCCTTACCCTGCATGGAACGAAACCATTCTGCGTCTATCTCTACATAAAGGCCAGGGTCTCTTATTGGGCTGGGCCTTGCAATTATCAAATACGCCCAGTTGTAAGAATATACAGCAACCTCAGAGTTCACGTAAGTTTCTTTTTTGAACAAAAACTGAAAGAGTCATTAAATGGCCTTTTTCTGGTGGAACTCAAACATAAATACAAAGAAGATCAGATGGGTAGTACTACATAGAAAAATGTTAAAACAAAGACGACTAGGAAGATTTTGATTTCAAGGATATAGAATGCTTCAATCATGCTTTGTTATTCTACTATTTTGGAAACCCTCTTTTGCATTATCTCACACCAAAATGAGCCATTTACTAAAGCTAAATCTAATTATTGGATTGAGTGCTCAAACCTAACTTGGATAACACACTAATTCCTCAGGAGATCCAATGATGTAAGATTCTCTCAAGGAAGTTTGAAAAATCTACTCAAATCTTAAACACTTGGAAGTAACCTTGGAAACACCTTTACATGATGAGGCAGAGACAACTGTTCCCAGACATTGACTTAAGACTTACCAACACAACCATTTCATTGTTCTCGTTCGAAGAACATATCACCCTCTTGCAGACTCGTTTGATTGTGGATAAGCCACGATGGCTTGACCTCCGGCCATTCCCATAGACTGCGCAAAGCAGCCCATTTGACAGAAGTGAGCTTGGTGGTGTCAGGTGTGTCGAGGAAAGAATCAAGAAAAGGGAGGTCGTTGCAGGAGGCAGAAACATTGTAAACGTGTATGACAGTATGAGGAAAGGACAGAGTTGTCATGCATACAGAGAGATACACAGGATTTGATTTTAGAACTAAAATGAAATTCGGATATACTTCGAACTCATTTTTCAAAATTTGAAAAATTATAAACAAACTACTTTTGACCCCTTCTTCAAATCCAAAAATTTTAGAAATTAAAATTTTGAACCAAATTAAACTGAAAACCGACTGCCCACCCTATATTTTGATATGATATGTAATATCTAAATATCTTAGGAAAAAAAAGGAAGATAAGGTAAGGAAATAAACTTTTTTTTTCTTTTTCTTTGACAACTATGGAAGTTCCTGCATAAAAATGTATTTTTACCGTTATTTCATTAAATGTAAGACACCGATTTTGGTATCCAGGTGACACTGCATTTGAAGACAATCGTGAACTCGAATCTATCCGCATGATTAATGCCTTGGCTCATAAAAATATATACATAGTGAGAAGATCATTTGTATAATTGTATATTTAACCTGGCACAATGCTTTACTAACTTTTATTTTAAGATTTTATGCTCTACAATAGCCTTTTTAATCCTACATACATTGGAGATAACATGGTAAAATGAAATCGTTTTAAGAAGTACTAATACATAAATGATCAAACTAAAAGCTAAAGCGGCCACTTGAACCATATATATCTTAGATAACTCCCTAGAGCAAACAGATTTATGGTCTCCTTCTAACCAATTCGATTATTTTATTTCATCAAACTTTCACAAACACTTCCCCAAAATCTAATCGTGGAGTGGAGTCTCTGTTCTCTTTTTATACTCTGACCTAAATCCCATGCGATCAAAAAGGTTATATATCGATGAAAGCTATAACCATCCACAATAACATACACTTATAACATAGCCAATAACAAAAAGAGACTTCAGTTACAATACCAACCAAACTTTCATAACAATACAGATTAATGTTACGTAACAAATCGAAGCTTACCTCAGCACAAACATTACAAATTCTTTCATTCAAATTCAAGAAAACCACTTCATCGTTCTTGTTTTACGTTTCTAGAGTGATTCAAGAAAAAAAAGATGGATATACATTAAGATGTGTAGAATGTTGAATCATAAAAATCATAATAATATTAAAAAAGCCAAAACAAAACCATGATGAGATAACAAACAAAAGAAGTTTTAAAAAATCAGAAAAATTAAAAGAGACAGCTGGGCCAAGCTAACCGAGCATGTGTGTCTCTTCCCCATCATGACCTGTCTCCGACGGTGGCGTTGGCTGCGCCACGGCGGAGATTAAAGCATTCAAAGCTCGAATCTGCATCTCCATGGCAACAATATAATCAGTAGTTTCTTCTAAAACCACAGGTAACGGTTGTTTCCGGCAACCGGGAATTAACCGGCTCAACAATTTCACCTTCCTCTGTACAGCTGGCAAACCTTTCCCCTTCAGCCTCAAAACCGTCGCTCTTTTTTTCCTTAACCGGTTATTAATATTCCCGGTTATCGCACAATTCGAATTTCTCATCCGGTTCTGTTTCCTGAACTTGAGCTTCACGGCTTTAGATAATAAAGCTCTGCTCCACAATGTTCTTCCTCTCGCCGTAACCGCTAATGATCTATAAGCAGCGTCACGTACTGCTATATCTCCGCCGCGAGGAGACGGCGACTTGACGGCGGAGCTAATCCGGAGTTCTCTTAAAGAATGAATGATGTTCGTCGAGTAGATCTGTTGTTGCTTCTCCGATCTCCATTTCTCAACCGATGACTGAGACGGTGCTTGCGGTGGTTGTTTCTTCTTACGTTTACGCCGTGATTGATCATAACCAGAGCTTTGATTCGTCGATTCCATATCAATCAATTTACATAAATCAGAAACAAAATGAAACTGCAGATAATAAAAAGATTAGAGATAAGAGATTAGAGGATGATTAAGGTGATTAATTACATTTAAGGGGAGGACTGGAGAAGGTGAGACGTCAAAAAGAGAGTATTATGTGGAGGAAAGAAGAATTCTTTTTTAAGCAAAAGGAAAGGTAATGCGGGATTCGATTTTTATATTATCCTTTCCTCCTCCTCCATGTGATCTCCACTCTCTATATATTGTCAAATAAATATATATTATCATCATTAGTGTTGACTTAATATAAAATACATTCAAAAAATATCTTACTAGTAGTATTAGCAGGCCCGGCGCATGACACAATCAAGTGAAGCCATGGCTTAGGGCATCAAATTACAGGGGGCATATATTTTAGAATTTTTTTTAGGGTCTTATATGTTAAAAAAAGTTATAAGCTTTTTTTGAGAAATAAATTTGTTGGGCTTTCTTTTCACTATATTTTATGGGCTTTATGCTTTTAAATTAATAAAAGATTAATTAATATGTTGTTAATGAATTTTTTTGGAAAATTTTGGCTTAAAATAAAATAAAACCCTAAACGTTTACAAAAATTTCTTTTTCCATTGATTCAATTCATACTTTTTCTTCTGTGTGCTTGGCTGCTGTTGCAAGCTTGATAAGGTATATATGTGAACTTTGCTTAGATTTGATTAATCAAGTAAATATTTAAGTGACTAAGTTTGAAGATTATTCCTTCCGTTCATAATCAATCTAATAGTCGACATAATCAAGCTCGACTACGTGAGTTTGATGAATGATTTTGCTGGTAAAAGTCTAAATAGAGCTATATTTAGAGAATATATTTTTTTTTTCTTTACAAACTTCTTATGAAATTAATTACTATTTTTTTAGTTTTGTATGAGTTTTATTTTAATTTTATTTGTGATGCTAGGAAAATTTTTTTTTTACAAAAGGCATGATTTTTTTTAGTGGCGTAGGGCATTTAGATATACCGCACCGGCCCTGAGTATTAGTATATTTGTTAAGTTGTTATGGGTTGTTGTTGATAAACAGAGAAAAAAAAGGAGTTGTTGGTAAGCAACGAAGTATTTAAAAATTTATTGATTCAATTCAATGCGTTACGCCATGGAAATGTTTTTACAAAAGGAGATATTAATCCACGATTTTCTCAACCCGATATTAGTAGACACACCGAAAAAATGATAGAAGCCCAAGAAAATTCGATCTGTTTTTTTTTTCCTTCTTATAGTATCAAATAAATACACAATTCAATGTCTTATTCGTATGCTTTCTTTTTTGGGTAATATTACTAACTAGCCAAATTTGACACATAAATTAAAAAACTAGCAGAGAGAGAAATTTCTGTCGGAAAACAGCATGGACCCACCTTATCTGAAGAGGTGAAATAACAAAACCATCCTCCGTTTGTTTTGAGATCTACAGTAGGCGACATTGTTTCGTGATATTTTTCAAAATAGCACGTAAGATCTAAATTTCACATGTTATATTTAACTAAAAGACATGCTATTTAAAAAAACGTAGTGAATTTTTAAGAAAAAACATTGTTACGTAGTGTTTTTTTTTAAAAAAACATTGTTACGGAAAAATTAAACTTGAATAGAATCTTTTTATAAAGAAATAACATGTGATCTTAATAAAAACCGTGAATTACTAGAAAATAAGAATCGTTTTTTAAAGAAATCACATGTGATCATAATAAAAAACGTGTATTACTACAAAATAACATGATAGCGAAAGATATTAAACTGAATAGAGTGTTTTTTCAAAGAAATAACATGTGATCTTAATAAAAACCGTGAATTACTAGAAAATAAGAATCTTTTTTTAAAGAAATCACATGTGATCATAATAAAAAACGTGTATTACTATAAAATAACATGATAGAGAAAGATATTAAACTGAATAGAGTGTTTTTTCAAAAAATATCATGTGCTCTTTATAAATAACGTGTAATACCGGAAAATAATATGATAAAAAGAGATATATTATTCTATCTCATGTAATTCGAGAAAAAAACATGTTATAAAGGGCATGTGTGTAATTACACATGCTTTCCGACATCCAACAGACAAAGTACTGTAGCTCATGGCTATTTTCTTAATTCTTTTTGAATCCATGGCTAGTTACTATAAATTCTCTTCTTTTTTCCTACGTTGGCATATCTATTGGTTGCTAGACTTTAGTAAAATGCTTTGTTGCGTCTGGTCTTATTTGTACAATTGACATTCCATGCTCGGTTAGCTCAAACTTTAATTTGGATGTTGAAAGTCCAATAATAATTTTAGGTGCAAATTTAAATTAATAATTGAAAATAGCTAAAGAGTACTAATAGTTTTTTTTTTTTTTTAATCTCCATGGATCATGAATGCATCAAAATCTATTTTCTTAGTAGTGATCACACTCCATTATTTAACTTTGACTGTAACTGCGATAAGCTTTTTTTTTTTTTTTTTTTTTTTTTTTTTTTTTTTTTTGTAAACGTAACTGCGATAAGCTTATATTCTCTTTTTTGTTGGTATTTAGAGACATTTCTCTAATCAACGACAATTTATTTTTCACATTCACGTGAACCGTGGTCATTTTGTTATTAAACATAAATAAGCTAACACATACTTCCAAAATTGCTTATGCGGCCTCACAGGTTTCTTGTCTGAGCCGGTGAGTCCACAGGACAGGACCCGCATTTTTATCCAAATAGATAAGGTTACTAATCAAAATATATGATTTTGTGTCCAAAGCAAATATTTCTAACGGATGGAAAAGCGATCTCTGGCTTCAGAGTTTTAAGACAAGATCTTAGTATAGACCTTTAGAGAACTTGTTTTCACGAAAAGAAACATAACTGATACAAGAAACAACCCTTATAATTAGAAGCTTCTAATGAAAATCATCTAGAAAACACTAGAGAGGAGATTAGCGGCGGTGGAAATGGCTGCTCCAGTGAGAGCAGACTGAACAACTTGCTCATGGCTTGTCCTCTCGGACGTCGTCATAGCCAATGCCGCTCCTGTCAATGCTCCAGCTACCGCGCTGTTCCGCTGTGATACATATATGATTATACATATTAATTAAAGGTCATGTTAACCATTTGTTCATTGACGAAACAAAATGATACAAGTTAGTTAATTTGACTAACCCAATCATGAGCTCCCCCACGAACCTCCTTCATACCGTAAGTGATACCTGAGTACAACCCAGCTGCTAGCCCTACAATTTTCCCAAATCAATATCCCAACCTTAACTCATTAAATCTCTTTCCAACATTAATCTTGAAACGTTAATTTAAACAGTTACATATATAAACTCACCCCACTGGAGAGATTCTTTTCCAGTGTTCTTCACCTAGAGGCCAATCAAATTTAAACTTTTTCAGTTAACTAACAAGAAACACTAGCACAGGTGTGGACGAACATTTGAAGATTATAAAAGGTTAATAACTAGCAATTGTAATAAACTCACCAATGCATCAAGAGATTTGCTGCTTTCCCCTGACAAAAAAAAAACGACATAACATTATTAACATAACGTTACATAAAATCATCAACCAAATTAATACGATACAATAATATAACGGACCTCTGAGATTAGGGAACCTATGTTTCTTGTTCCCTGTAATCTCCGACGGTGGACCAACGTTGTTCGAGTCAAACCCTGCCCCTAAATTCATAATCAAATTAAAGTATACGTTCCTCTATTTATTCATTTTGACTCTTACATTTACATACTTATTTTTTATACATGTAAATCATAAGTAAGAAGAAACTCGCCGGAGTTTCTTACCCTCAACCACCGTAAAGTAAGCTTCCCTCGATACCGCTTGTAACGCTCCCACCTTCATAGTTAATCCATATTAAGCTATGTTACCACATATGTAACATGCATATACTACCGGAAAACGTAGAGATATGAAATGACAACTTACTCCGGCGGCTTTCACGAAGGAATCGGCGATACGGTTGAGAAGAGGATGACCAAGATCGAACAAGTGTGCTTTCTCAAAGCTTCTTATCTCATCCATTACAATTCTTCCTCCACTCTTCTCCATATTTTTCTTTCTTCTTCACTTCTTGCTTCTCTCTTTCTCTGTTAATACTTCTCTCTTCAACAACAAGTAAGGAGAAGAATGTGGAACTGAACAGAGTATCTTGACACGTGTTCTGTTTTTCCACACGTGTCGGAGTCTGCCGTTTGAACTGTTCGCCGTTCTCCTTCCCCACGTGGCGCTCTTCTTCCAAAAACATAAGGTAACGTCCAGACCGAGAAATTAAAAGCCCAATGGGCTCAGAGATAGGTATTATTATAAACCGGGAACTTTGAAATCTCCGGTTTAAAGAAGAGAAACGTGCCACGTGTCTTCTCCGCTTTGATATCTCCGCCTCCGCTCGTCGGAGTGAGACTACTACTTGTCATCTCCGTCACACTCCCATTTTCTCTCTATAGATCTCTGACTATCTCTCTAACACAATGCAATCGGCTCTCTCTATTTCGTTCTCACAGACTTCGCTTCCTTTAGCGAATCGTCCGCTTTGTTCATCCAACGCAGCTCCTTCTACTACGCCGAGAAATCTTCGGTTCTGTGGACTCCGGCGAGAAGCGTTTGGTTTCTCTCCGTCGAAGCAGTTGACATCGTGCCGTTTTCAAATTCAGAGTAGGAGAATCGAAGTCTCCGCCGCTGCTTCTTCTTCCGCTGGAAATGGAGCTCCATCGAAATCGTTCGATTATGATTTGATCATTATCGGAGCTGGAGTTGGCGGCCATGGAGCTGCATTGCACGCCGTCGAGAAGGTCTGCTTTCTAATTAGGATTAGGATTCTGATTTGCCAATTTCTGATTCAAATTGATACCTTTAATATCAGAACACGAATCGAATCGTTTTTAGCATGATTGTGCTTGGACATGCGAATTTGAAGCTTTTACTAACATTTCTTGTACACTCTTTCTTAATTGAGCTAGTAAATTTGGAAAGTTGCTTAATTGTTGAATCATGCTTTGTTTGATAGAAACGGTACAAGGATGCGTAGCTACATCCTCTTCATTATGCCAATTTGGAAATCTTACTATCTAATTACTGTTTTTCTTTCTTTCTGGTGCTCATGATCTCATCGGGTGAATTGTTGTTTTGGTAACGTTGTATAGGGACTCAA